ATGAAAATAAAGCCACCGTTATTTCGGTATTGTTCTTTTGAGAGCAATTTCTGCTTCACACCTCCTTGTTGACTTAATATACTACTATGTTGCATGCAGAAGTCCCCGTTACAAAACTATATGGATGGGATATTGTAACCTTTTATACCTGTGTACTTGTTTGCATTCCAGGTTGTAGGTTTTGGACTAAAACATTTTCCATTCAACGAAGCATGATGCCCTATTCTAGTAAAAGTTTCGAGGCACAAAAATTCGCCAAGAAGTGAAATGAAATTTATTGGGAAAAAAAAGTTTAACAAAATATAAATGAGTTCGAAGATACTAGTTTAATCAGACATGCGCTGCAGAAGAGTCGAGATTAATTTACGAGTCTACTTTATCAAAATTCGATCTCGAACTTTGCATTGATGGAGTTCGAGTTGAGTGTCTCAAAATAAGAATTACCATTTCAAATTCAATACATGCTTTCCAATCTTCTCATTTGAACAAAGCAACTTTTTAAAATCTCAATACACATTTAACATGGAAATATTTTAAATTCAATAGATGCATGTGTAGACTTCAATATTGGGATGGAGGGAGCATGTATTTTTAATTTTAAAAAAATTTCAGTAGGGGAAGGGTGGGATTTAAGAAGTAGGGAAAGGTAGGGGATTTGTCTATCTTGTTCCTTATTTAAAATTATATAAAACATTATTATAACATTTAAACTCGATTGACCTTGATTTAATTAGATCTATTTGAGTTTGAGTTAGATTAAGGTAAAATTGAATAGTTCAACGAGTTCGACCTCGAGTTCAAGCATTTTAACTCAAAATGAGGTTGAGTGGTCCACTAGAACTATTTGAATTCAACTTGGACTCATAAATTTAGGCTTAATCTTACCTAAAGACCATTATTGTCACAACATATATGGTTTGCAAGAGTTTTGTGGTGGAATTCACTAATTACACAAATAAGGTTGCCAATTGGGTTTCTTGAATTGAGTTTTGATAAACATATAATTTCGACTCAAAAAACAAATAGAATCTTTTGGCACGAGCTAGAGGCCATTTTGTAAGTTCCATACTCGACTTATAAAGACCTGTAGGTTCTGGATCTATTTCCGACTTAACCTATAATATAATATAATATATATTAACATTATACACCATTCTACAATTATCTATTAATTTTAAAATTTAAACATAATAATTCCAAACCAGGGTTTAATCAAAACTTAGCCTATTGAAGCCCAGACACAGATGACGACTGAATTGTGGTGTATATTTGGGTTTCAGCTCTGTTGGTCCAATAATAGAGCCGCTCGGTCCCAATTTTGTCAGACCAGTCTCCACCAGGAGTGGTCCACTGACAATCCATCATACAGTTGAATGTTGGGCCTGAGGCTAACATAGGGTAACTCTGTGGACCAACACTGCCTCATGTAAATTCGCTCTTTTAACGGATGAGGACTAACATCAAAATTTGGGTAGCAGCTGCTACCCTGCGGATTGGCAGAAATCTATTATTAACGACCCAAAAAAAAAAGGATGCTTGCATAGAAGGAGCACGGTTGTGCCTTGGACTGAATTGTACATCTTGTTGGAGGAGTGAAAACGAAAATGAGGAAAGAAGTTATTTTCATAACTTTAAGCTGATAAAAATTCTACAAAATTTTCTTTGTAGATCCCAATTTTTATTTTCATGACAATCAACCATTTCATTTGTTTTATGTAGTTGATTGTCTTTGGTTATATTAGAGGTGATGCTGAATCAACTAGCTCAATTCGAAGTCACAATCTACTCAGTCAACAGGTTGGTTCGAGGTCGCTTTGATTGAACTCGAACTTGAGTTCAAGCTGCTCGTTTGAGTTCATGAGTCGAGTTCAAGTTCCAAATTCTTGTACTCGGAGGCTCAACAAGCCTAATCAAGTTTTTTTATAGTATATTTTTTTTTAATCTTATATATTTATTATTGTGAAATATCAATTATATCCTTTATTTAAAATTATATGTAAAGTATTAATTTTTATTAGGTGAGTTTGATTAGACTTAGATTGGATTTAATTAAACTCAAATCCAATTAAGATACATTGAAGTCGAGTTTGAGGTTGAGTTTCAACTCAATTATTTTATCTCGAATCGAGCTCAAGTAATGCATTACTCGAAGTCTCAACTCCTCTCAAATGCATCCTTGGTTGTACAATTTTTGGGTATGATAGACTTGCACGCCTACAAAAGATTGTTTACTTGATTAAATTGATTATAATCAGCGCCACTAACTACCATTGATGCGTTGTTGTTTGAAAGCGAACAACCTGCTGACAGAAATCAATAAGTGCAGAACCATTTGTACGTTCTGTAATATTGTAATTGTAGATTGTTTGTATTGCACCTACCGTTAACAGATCTTTCTAATTCTATTTAAACAAGAAAAAAAATCCAATGAAATAGTGTATTTTATGCCTCATTTAAAATAGTAGTGGGGCATACTTTCTCTCAATTAAGTTGGTATCGTTTGGCAGGATGAGGGGGAAAATTTAATTTTTTTTTAAAAAATCGACTTGGTACACCTTCCCAACCTCCAGGCCATGTTCTCGAGTAGATTTGACCAAAATTGTTCCTTGATTTTTTGAAAATTCAAAAATCAATTTCATAGATTGATATTTTTTTAGGGCAAATGACTCAAATAGTCTTCCATCCAAATTTTTTCTTTAAAAAAAAAAATTTGAACTACATTTGGTCCTACCACTTTAATTTGGGACAACCTTATCTCTTAACTTTAATTATTAAATTGATTTAGTCCTATCACTTTAATTTGGAGCAAGGGCGTCGGTTAACTTTGAACAAGGAAAAAAAAATCACGTTCCCGAAGACTGGTCTCATGTCATTTTAGCTGAGGAGAAATTCTGTGAGTAGACTGCCATAACTATCAAAATCGTGCAGATTTGGCCCCACAATGTTAGCTGGCACATTTAAATTCCCGTTTGAATTGCTATTTTCTGAAATTTTTATAGAAATATGAACAGTAGCAATTTGTTTATGTGAAATAAAAAAAAATTTAAAAATTTAAAAAAAAATTAAAAAAAAAAATGGTAATCCAAATTACATGGGATCCTCGGTGCTACTTTTGTGGTGATAATTCTGCGTCACTTCTATATTTATATCAAGTGACCTATTTATTTAACTTGTCATATGTTATTTATTTAAGTTTCTTCTATCCTTAGCGTGATAAATGGGATTGACATTAAATTTGGTATGAAACAGTGACACAGAGGATCTCAACTGAATCCAAATAAGGCAGCATACAATGGGTTAATCCAACAAGTATTGTCTCATAGGATAGTTTTTTGGAAAACATAAATCAGGAACATGAATAAATCCAAGGAGCACGATACAATGATTAATTGGATATACTTGTTACCACACTATGAGAGCCTATCTGATAGAATCCAAATTCAATGCTACTCCCTCCGTCCCACTTTGATAGTCCTGATTCTTTTTTCACACAGTTTAATAAAAAGTAGTTAACTTTGTTGGAACAATCAATTTAGGTAGCCATTTTCCTAAAATAACTCACATTAATTAGAGTACAACCTTATGAGAACTTGAATTGATGATAAAAAAAGAATCAATTCTCATTAAATGGGATTGGTTTATAGTAACAACAACTTACATTGAATAAGGGTATTTTAGGAAAATTAAAATACAACTACATTTTTCAATTGGAAAGTGGACTACAATTTGGGACAGACGAAAAAGGAAAACAGAACTATCAAAGTGGGACGGAGGGAGTATAAAAAGTTAAAAAGTTTATTTGTGTCTTTCATGAACCAAAGCCTTCACAACATAACACAAGTAATTAAACTATGACTAATTATTGTAGAAAATCATGAATCGCATTCCAGTCTTTATTAATCGCACTTCAGTAATTTCTTTTATCATATAGTCTAATAAATAAAAAATTGCATTATAAAATTGATCGTGAATGTGCGATTAACAAGCATTTCTCTTATTTTATAGTAATACATATGTTTCTTTCCTTTTTTGTCACGAAAGGAAAATGAAGGGTAGGTGAGAAGGAATCATCATCGCTCGGAGGTGACTGACGTGGAATTGTCGGCCTGGATTCACTCATGCTACGCATGTGCACTCACACACTATGCCTCTCCGTTTAAAATCAAAACTAGATGGTATTAAATTTTCTTGGGAGTTTTGCACAAATCAAACCCTCCATTCACAAAATATCATCGTCTAGTCCTTCACATTTAAATTATACATTTTGAACCCTAACCTATTCAAAGTGTATCTCAATTATAAGCCCGAATTCTATTTCCGGTCAAATTTCTTTAGGGACAAAAACAGGAAGTGTGTAACTTCTTATCCCATGCTTGGTGTAATTGTTGTGGCTTCTTCCTTCTTCACCAAACAGGATTTGTTAACTTAGGATGCGTTTGATAAAACTGAAGTTTGAAAACTAAATTCTGAAATTTGAAATCTAAATTCTGAATTCAGTAATATATTTGAATATATATCACATTTAGTGACAAGTGAATAGTTTATTCCTTAATCTTGGAGGCAAGTTTTGTCTAGAAAATTCGGTGCCACTTAATTAATTCAGATGTTTTATTTTTGGTTATCAAACGCGTCTGAACATATTAAAATCTGAATTCATTAAGTTTAAGTGAGTTATCAAATGGGGCCTTAATATGAAATACTATATTTTACGTAATAATTGTCTATTTTCAATTTTGTCCCTCAATATAAGGAATCATCTATTTTAAATTTTTCCCTTCAATATACATCATAATGTACAGAAAATCAAAGAAAAATTTTCAAGAACAAAAGCAAGTGAAAATGAAATTTGGGATCAAAATATCACCATTTCCAATATGTTGCAGATGAAAATGTGTCAATTTAAATATAAGGGACTAGAACAGAATAACTTGAAATGTAAAGGAGTTCTTGTACAATTGTTCCTATTCTTTATCTGTCCAATTGCTTTGATGCATATCCTAGCAGTCGAAGTGCTCATGGTTCCGTGTTCAACCTCTCCAATTCTTTGGCCTTTTCTTGCCAGTTCCCATTTGCATGCCTGCATATGTGAGCACCGCTGCTTGTGATCATTATGAAACATTAATATATGCAATTCTTCGATCATCTTCATTTTTCTGTCCCTGTTCTTTCTTTCTGTTCTTCCTCTTCTGAATAGTCACTTGTAATCTTTACCCGTTTTCTAAACGTTTGCCGGAAATACAACTGACGGGTTTTCTTTGAAGTTCTGCACTGAGCAAAAAGAAGAGCAAGATGATTCATAAAACCACCAGCATTCGTAATTTGATTCAACCTTCGGCTTTAAGCTCTCTTATATCAAAGGTTAGAGTCAAAGAACTTCTTTGTCTTCTGTTTTCTGTTTTGTTTGGAATTCATTTCTCTTTCTGCTGTCTTTGATTTTGTCTACTTATTTTGATCCATTTGAATTCTGAGGGAAAAAAAAAAATTAAATCTGGCTAGCTTCAGAAACTAGAGCAGTTGTCCTGTTCTCTCTTGAACATAGAATTGAATCTGAGGTTGAAGAAGACGGACCCAAAAAAAAAAAAAAAAAAAAAAGAGGTTTAGGAGTTTGATCCTCCAAATATTTGGAAGAGCAGCATGCAATGTTGATAACAGCCGTTATTTTTCTTGATATAAAAAGATATCAAATATACATTATTATTTTGTTTTTGTCTGGAAAACTCACGAATTTATTCTAACAGCAAAAGAATGCTGATGCTAGTAATAGATGAAATGATTTTCATATCCACAATTGTTTAGGCCCTTTATCGTAAATTAGGTTGAGCTGGTGGATTATGAAAGAAATTTTCAAAACCAGCGTGAATCACACATTTTTTCAGGCTAATTGGTTCAGCATTGATATCATTGTAAAAAGCAAGGACAAAATGTCACTATTGCTTAAAACTTAGCAAAACTTCTCACTAAAATGTGGTCATATATATATATATACAGTGACAGTTAGACGCTCGAATGGGGATAATGCTGTGTGGTCAATTTTATCGCTTTTTATTATTTTAAATTCAATCCCTTCCTAATTTTGGTGGATAGCAGATCCAAACCCACTAGGAAAAAAAGTCAGCAATTTCTATCTTATACAGTTCATCCATTTTAATTAAAGACGAGCAAAAACTATAGGATTAGTAGAATAATTTCACGTGTTCCATTGTTTACAAATCTTACTTACCCCCAAAAAAAAATTATTTAGGAGATTTAAATAGAATAATTAAATATATATATGTTAGGTGGTTATGGATTCAAATATTGATAATCCAACAAAGGATGTTGAATAAATAGTAATGAAACAGATTTGCATAGATATACACTTCATCCAAAGAAAAGAATAATATATTTGAAATATTTTTTTTTATTTTTGGCGACTAAACAAGATCTTAATTAAGGAAATTTTATATTTTGCTACTATACATAATCTGGATTTTTTTTTAATAAAAAAAAGTAGGATGGATTGATGAATTTTAGCTAAAAACAACAAATCGTGATCTACATGCATCATGATAATTTACTCGACCAAAAAATAAACTGTTTGTTTTGTTTTGTTTTGTAGTTGGGAGCTAGCAGCTATGCAACTCAGGCTGCATCTTCTTTACAGCAAGCCTGTGAACCACCATCTGCCTATAGGTAAATGTTAATCGACTTTCATCTGCTTAACTAAATTCCCTGATGCATGCAAGTCAAATCATTTGGTTCTGCAAGATTTTGTAGTTTGCTCCATGGATTTTATACATCAAGAATCTTCATGCAAAAATATCATATCCCCTTCTGCAGGTTGCTTTAGTTGTTCGATTAATTTTGTCAATGAATTGTACATTGTACTGTGTTTACTTGGATCCTAGCAAGGTGCAATGTAAGAAGTACATTGTACATTGTACTTATGTTATTTGAATGGATTTATTTGTCCTTTACATTCACCACCAGAAACCATGCTGATCCCAGAATGTGCCATTCCATTGTTGATCTTCCCTCATCGACCTGAGAAAATAACAAAATGTCATTTAGTTTTTGTCAATGGTCCATCTTTGTGTTTGCCTTGTCGTATGTCTTCTATGATTGCTTCATATGCGCTTTGGGTGAGAGCTACATATGCTTTGCGTCTCTTCATTTGTGAACTCCATGATTCAGTGGTATTTGTGTTAGTAAATCCAATTATTGAGAAAGCCACTTAAAGCATACACAGATCAAAGGAAAAATAAACGAAAGAGATTACACTACCTGGATTCAAAATGTCTACAAAAAATGAAGAGCTTCTGTTCATAAAACGCTCGGCATCATCAAAGGCATGGAAGTATTGTGGAAACAAGCCACCTGCCCAACCAGAGCAGCCATCCCTGGACAATCCCACACTTTTATGTAGCAAGCTCACTGCTAAACCCATGTAGCTGTCTTAGTGGAAGCCGTGAAGTATAAGGAGCTGCCTGCATCGAAAACTCATTGCTAAACATGTCCTTTTGGAAAATGAGGACAGTTGAATATGTTTTGTATGGGTATCATAAGCATTTACTATTTCTTCGTTGCAATGGTAATAAGAGCGATGGGGACAAATTATCATGCCCGACTCTAATTTGTTCTTCCACACTTCTTTGTCCATGTTGATAATTGACAGCAATGACGAGTATGCTGATATTGATTGGAATGGTCTCGGATTCAGTGTTATGCCAACTGACTATATGTACATCATGAAGTGTCCCAGTGATGGATATTTCCAGCAAGGCCAACTTTGCCGATATGGGAACATTGAGTTAAGCCCTTCAGCAGGGGTATTAAATTATGGACAGGTACGTTCCGTTCCTCATCACATCTGGACTACAGGTCGTCTCACATAAACTGTAAGTTAATTCTCTGTCTGTGAAAATTGAAACAGGGATTGTTTGAGGGTACGAAAGTCTACAGGAAAAAAGATGGAGGCCTCTATCTATTCCGCCCAGATCAGAACGCCATCCGAATGCAAATTGGTGCTGAAAGAATGTGCATGCCCTCTCCATCCATTGAGCACTTCATCAATGCAGTGAAGCAAACTGCCTTGGCTAACAGGCGTTGGGTAATTATTTTTAGTCCCCAAATTCTTGCAGTACAATTGTGTTGTCAGTCGGTAACAAAATTTTTGTTTTGTGTGTTTTCTTTCTTTCGTGTAACCTATTTTTCTTTTGAGTTTGCGCAGATCCCACCTCCAGGAAAAGGATCACTTTATGTTAGGCCTCTGCTCATAGGAACAGGACCTGTACTTGGTTTGGCTCCATCACCTGAATATACATTTCTTGTCTATGCTTCGCCTGTTGGAAACTACTTCAAGGTTCAGATCTTTTTCTTTATATGCTTCTTTCCTGTCATTATAAACACTTCATGTTCTTCTTTCTTATTCCTAAGTTGTCCATTTCTCTGTCATTAAAGAAGAATGTGTTTATTTTGAGTTGTGGTTATACAGGAAGGAACTGCAGCGTTAAACTTATATGTGGAGGGTGAGTTTCATCGCGCTTCACGTGGAGGAGCCGGAGGAGTCAAAAGCATAACAAATTATGCTCCAGTAAGCTAAATGATCCTTCATGTTACTATTCAGCCCAATCTCCAAACCCCAGAAAATGCAAAGAAATGGATTAAACCGCAATATTGGCCCTATCTAAACTTGCATTTGATGGCAAAGGAAGTCAAAGAAGACCAATTAAAGGCTTTTGTTTACATATTTTATTTTCTAAATTTTCTTATTAACCTTTGATATCATAAAGCTACTGTTTGTTGAATAAACTCGTAAATTGATTATGTTGCCTAAAAATTTGGAACTTGTTAGCCAGTTAATCTTTCTATGCATTTCCTCCAACCAGAAATGCTCTGTTTTTTGCTTACCTTCTTGTTGTTTCCTTTCAGATTCACATTTACTTTGTGTTGCGTAGGTCTTAAAAGCAATACATAGAGCAAAGGATAGAGGATTCTCTGATGTCTTGTACCTAGATTCACTGAACAAGAAAAACATTGAGGAGGTCTCTTCTTGTAACATTTTCATTGTCAAGGTATTCTACTCCATTACCTCATCAAACTATTTCAGTAGCTGATATGTTAATACAAATAACAACTCTATACAACCCGGACATATTGGGTTACAATATGGACGTAAGGTCAAAAGCTTTAACAAAAAGAAAAATCTTGTTCATGTGAGAGTATAAGTAGAAACTATAGATATAGGGCTCTATAATGTTCTTAGTGCAGCCTGCGCAATCTGCAGCTAGATTTTGAAGGGTTTGGACCATTAAACTTATTACTACTCCAATGCATATATCCAGGGAAATATTCTTTCAACTCCAGCAACTAATGGCACCATCCTTGAAGGTGTAACACGAAAAAGCATGATGGAAATTGCAAAGGATCTTGGATACCAGGTAAGCAAAAAACCTGTATTAGCTGCTAATTAAGCAGGCAGTTGAAAAAATGATAAGAGAATTCGTGGTATTGGCTCACATAATTGCCATCATGCTAAGGTTTGGAAGTGTTCTATTGCTACTCTAATGTGACTGAAGCAGTCTATGGGCTATCTGAGCCTTTTCTATGATGTTGCCAGGTTGAAGAACGTACCATTCCGGTGGACGAACTAATCGATGCTGATGAAGTATTCTGCACAGGAACTGCGGTTGGTGTTGCCGCTGTGGGAAGCATCACATACAATGGTAAAAGGTAATAAGTAGCATGCATGCTTATTCTAGTGTTATCCCAACACTGTTTCATCCCAGCGTATGATCTTGTGAAAAGGTCGTGCTGTGCAGAAGATTAAGCAGGACTAACCCCCCATGAAGTTACTCAAGAGTTATAGGAACATTTTCTGAACTTTAATTTGCTTTCTCAAGGTTCACAACTTTGTCTGGATGAATAAGGTATAGAGAGTCATCAGTAATTGGTTTCTTCCGTTTATGCAGGACTGAATACGAGATCAGCCCCGATCTTGTCTGCAAGAAACTTTACTCGAGGCTCGTAGGAATTCAAAGTGGTGCTGTCGAGGATAATAGGGGCTGGGTTGTCGAAATTGATTAAAAGATATGTTCAACTCTGGTTGCTTTATTGACATATTCTGCTGTAAATAATCGAATCAGCAGATATTAGTCTTTATTTAATTTGTAAAAATGTCTGTTTCATACTTGAACAGTCTCTAGTAACTCTGCAGCTTTGAGCTGAGTTATTCAAGTGGCTAAAAGGATAAGACTGCCCTGTTAAACTTCTTTCCTAATCTATGCAGAAAGCCCAGAAAGGGATTTAAAACCCTTTTCGCTGGCCATTCCAAATCTGTAGGAAAATTAGATGTAGCCCAATATTCAACCATCTTTGTTTACTCTAGAATAATTGTCCAATTATCATTTATTCAATTCACCATTCCTTTTTCTTTTTAGGTTGATTTGAGGCCAAATGTCACATCTCACAGCAACAATTTTAAGCTGAGCTACACAAGAAATCTGGTGGATCCCGGAGAAAATGCGTCACCAATCTCCCTTTTTGCTCCCATTTCTTCCCCTTGGAGTATTTTTTTTTTTGAAAATCTACAAAAGAAAAGTTTTAAATAAATTGCTACAAAATATTAATCAGCACTCCATGCCCGAAGGATAAACGTCTAGCATAGGACTGTCAACAGATTAGGTTTAATTTGGATTGGATGTAGACCCTATTTATTTTTTTTATTTTGTATTCGGAATAGGTAATAGGTTCATTTACTTAGACTATAAATGGATCGGAAATGGATTTACATGTTTCGATCCATTTTGGACTCGATTAATAGAAATTTTTTCATTAAAATTTATTGCAAACCCACTTATCTTCTACTAGAAAAAGATCTGTAAAATGGTAATATTTTATTTATACATTTTATGTTCAACTAAAATTTTAAAACTATTGGAAAATAATTCTATTAAATTAATTTCAAAGTCCATATATTCTTGACCGGATTTGGATCCAGACGGGCCCTGACATGTAACTACGAATTGAGAATCTGCAGATCTGACCTGTTTACACTTTACACCCGTACTCTTGCTAAGCTTCAAACTTTTAGGCCCATGGACTCTGGAATATTTCATGAATGATCTACAGAAATTGGCCATCCTTTTAAAAGCAGGATCCGTCGTTCTCAATAGTAATAGTTTTTGAGATTGAATCCAGATGGAAATTGGAGATTTAAGATTGGACGCGCCAAAATTCATTGGTTCAGCTGCTAAAAATCAAACCATGATAGTTTGTGAAAACTCTTACACAAGGCTGGAGCCCAAAGTTTTGCCAATAGACTAAAACCAAAAATTGGCCGACACCCCAGATTTTTTGTGTCCGCCTCAAAAGATAATGAAAGTCATCAGCCACAAAAGTTAAGAATTGTTACTTATAAAGGTGCAGTAAAAAAATCATGAACCAAAATCATCCTCCACAAAAACACTAACCCGGAGAGAATTAGTGGTTAAGAGCAAGGATTAATTTTCTATACAGTGACAGTGTTTACACTTTCACAGTTAAATGCATGATACATAATTTGAATTTGAATTTGAAGTTTCAATTTTGCATATGGGTCAAGAATCTAACTGTAATAATGTGTACAGAGTCAGTGCGTATAAGATTAACTCAAAAAACAATTGTAACTTTCAAACTCTCAAGAGTGCGTAACTTCTTGGTTTTTCTTTTATATTTTAGGTGGATCCAAATTTGGTGTAAGAGAATAATATGGTACAAGGGTTGTTTTTTCTTGAAATCATCATGATGAACACCAAGTTGCGAAAGCCACTAAAAATAATTTTGGAGAAAGAAGGAAATTTACGTGTAGAAAAAAGTGCAGCAGAAAACTTGACGTGCATGTTTAGTTTTGGAGTTTAATTACATCATCTCCCAGCACAAGGAGAGCGATTAATGACGACGTAAAGGAAGAAAATGCGTGATTTTTGCAGCATTAGCTTATCTTTTTATCGTTGAAAAAGAAAGAAAACAGGGATCAAATACTCAATTAGCAACCGTCTCCATCATAATCCATCAATCAGAAAATTGTCACTGCTAATAGTCCCAATCGACCGAACTTACACCAACCATAAGAAAAATGGCTGAGAAACTGGTGATGTATGATCTGTTCTCAATATGGCAAAGATGCATCCACAACATCGTGGCATTCTTTGATAAGCTCAAAAATTAGATGATTGATTGCAGTACTCCCACATACATGATCCCTCACTACAGCTGGTAAGAATGTGACTGCTATGAAGAACCATAACAGAAATCTTGACAGTTTTGGAACAAACTTAGACTCTCAGATTCCAGTAATTTGTACTCGACTACAAGTGATGTGCTTTTCTTTTCTTGTTTTTTTTTTTCCTTTCTTGGTTTTCGTTTCATTTAAAATCTTTTCATGTTTTCCTACTCTTCTGATAATATACTACGTAGTACTTCCATTTTTCTCCCCCTTATTTGTCTGTTGGTGACGCTAGCTGACGCACCACAGATATTATTTACATATTGAATTTTTTTTCCTTTGTACGCGGAAGGTCTTAAATTCAGTATCTCTTACTTACCATTCCTTCTGCCTTATCATTTAATTCAGTCCTCCCTCGTTACATACTGGATTTGTGTATGATACCTGCAAAACTCAGAAACGCTTATACATAGAGTTCAAGCCTTCAATATGTATAATTTCTCTTCAGTCAAATTGACCCAATATTTTGTCAAATACACGATTTAGGGCATAATAAAGGTAAAACTTGCTAATCAAGTTCTATTAATCTTTTTTTTTTAAAAAAAAATAATCTTGGATATCAATCCAAGTACTACTTTTAACTTTTGATGAGGTCCACGCAGCAGGGCACACAGGGTGTGAGCATGATGACATATGTATCTGTTTAAAAGTAGTGGTAGTCATCGAAAGTTTTTACTAGTAGATATTGCACGGAAAATGCAGTGTTGATCAGCTTTGAAAAACAAAAAAAGACTGGTAAAAGATTTGCTCATGTAAACAACTTACAAAAAGCTGATAAAAGTTAAAACTGCCTGGAGATGGAAATCGTCATGGACGATTAACTCGGTCAATTTGATAGATATATTTCAAACGTATAGGTCCATAAAGAAAAGCGAACGACTTTAGCATTGTCGTTGAAAGATGCTCTCTCGTAATCCTGTTTCTCTCTCGTCAATTTCAATCATCAAGTGATAAACAACATTATTAATGCTACAAGTCTTGATTGGTTGTTAAATATTTAATGTACATGTCTTGACAGCTAACTTGACTACGTTTGTCAAAATTTATAGCAGTCTGGAAACGGTAAGAACAGTTTCAGAATCATGGATGTTATATAGTCATCAAGAACCAATATAATTAGTAGGGACATTAATTAGCCAAGATGATAATTAGTGGGGACATTAGCCAGGATGACTTCAACCTCTTTAATTCTAAGTCTTAAATCTTCTTCTTCCCCCTTTCTTTTTATTATAAGGTTCCGAGACATATGACGCTATAAGCAGAGAGAAATCGCAAAGGGAGAAAAACTGGAGTACTACCAAAACAGAACTTGACTTTGAACTCTTTAGCTTGCCGACCAAGTCCCCGTGCCTTTATGAAGGTACGTAGGATTAAGTTGCTCGAAAGGACTCGTACAAAAATGAGCATTAGCAATTAGCATCAGTTGACTTCAATATTAATTAGTCTTCAACAGCAGTTGTAAGAGAGGCACAATGCCCATTCAAGGGGAAAAAGTGTATAATATTAGAAAGATGTGTTGATTATTGGGCATTCAATTATATTATGTATCACGTTATGTCTAACTGAGATACTGAGGCCACTTTTAAATATAAAAAAAAAAAGGTCTAGATATATTTGATGCAGTTTTTTTGGTTAGAGGGCGGTTCCTAAGGTCATAGAAGAAAGGAGAGATTAAAGAGTCAGTCAGTGATATCACTAAACGTACTAATGTTTCTTCTAGTGGATGATTAGATAGGATATAATTTACATTTTACCATTTAAGTTGCTAAATAATGTAATTAATTCCTTACCATGTATGTCCCATTTTACAAATCATATGGGGGATAGTCATCTTAAAAGATTAAATGATTCCAGCAATCGAGGCAATGAAAAAGGAAAAGAAAAGAGAAAAGAACCAAGAAAAAGAAAGCCTTCAGCCTGAAGGTTAGGAGACCAACCAACGAAAAGAAAGCAAAAAAAAAAAAACATCCATTTTGTGAAGCTCTACGTTGATGGTTGCAGATTTTTCTGGCATGACAAGAATTGGAGACCATATGTAACACCCACGTTAAAGTCAATTATGTAATGCATCGATGTGACAATAAGCTCCTCAAAACGGCTAAGTTCACCGCACCCCTACTCCCTGAGTGCCCGTGTGGGACTTCACTTGGCCCTTCATTATTTCACTTCATCTGCAAGTCGATTATTTATTTTAAACTTTCCTCCTCGATATATAACCAGGAGATTCTACAGTGCCTTTTAGGTATCATGTTCATAAGTGAAATTCAGCATTAGATGATGATGAAAAAAGTGTTATTGACTCTTAGATTAAACATTGTTAATATATTTAAAGTTTAAACTATTATCTTTGATGAGAGATAAAAGTTGAGAGCATGATATCTAAAAGGGACCATAGAATTTTCCTAAATAATCAATTGGGAAAGGAAAAAGACCTTGTTCAAATGGCTTGTTTTGGGTGGATTTTGCCATTCGATATAGGGGGTTTTGCAGCCTTTAACAACTAAAATTCGAACGTTGCGAACAAACTATTTTTTCACCAAAGACAATTTGTTCATCAGAGCATACTAAATAAAAGAATCTGATTGTATGATTTTTCGCCAAGACATCTGAACAGAGTCAGCTACTAACTCCAGGCTCTGTTGCTCAGAAAGAACAAATATGAACCGTATCAAGATGTGGCATTGATTGTATGATTTTCCGTCAACACACATTCTCAACAGTGATAACTACTAACTTTAGGCTTGGTGTTTAATTGGGTACAAGAAAGAAGAAATATGAACCATATCAAGATATGGCATCAATGCGTCCTCTACTTTTGACTTAGCCAACTTTTCTAATAGGGTAATATTCCATTTTCGCAGGTCATCTCTGGTCACCTACTCAATTGGCAATTTCTTCTTGCTTCATGTTTTGGTTTCCACTTGTTCAAGTCTCGTCCTTTTGGTTCTAGAACATTTTTTTGACTCTTGGAGAAAAGTTTCATTGGCATGCTTTTTCTCACATTTCCGATGGAGTTTGAAATATGTTGTTATGATCAAGAATAAATTATCAATGTTTGACTATCATTAACCAAGTCGCAATGTGGTACAATCCCTTTTCCCAGTTTTTCCTCTAAAAAACTAGCTAGGGAGGATGGAAGGTGGGTAATACCGTAATTACCTTGATGACTTGGCCTATCACGCAACCATGTAAACTTTTACTACGTAAGAGATTCACATTTACATTGAATAATCCCGCATTTCTGCAGATTTCTGTGCGTTGAGGAAGAATATATACCAGCAGCTATGATTATCTGATCCCAAAGATACAAAGTACTTATTTTAAGTACTATGTTTGATTAATTATTGCATAAATCGTACATGTCAAGGCTTAATTTGTTTTTTTTTTTTAAAAAAAAAAAGAATATTTTTATGTACTTCTTATTTTACCATCTACAAATTGGTGCACTATATGTAGATAACAGCAAAATACAAAACAATCCAGCTTTAAGCTCTTGTAAAATTTATCATCCGCAGATCTGCAGCTGGATATATCTTTCCGCATCCAATTTGGACCATCCATCATGAAACTGTTAGGAAGCCCTCGTCAACCTTAATTATTGTGGTAAATCTACACAAGCCAGAAGAGTTAAGATCGCTGTAAAATTGACTAGAATGAGAGCATTACTGTTCCATTTGGAAGGATTATGCAATTGTAAACATCATGCTGTTATTAGATGTGGATACACCATATCTCCTTAAAGCTATAAATATAACGTGGTTAGGACCATGACACACATCCTATAACGTGTAAATTATTTTCCAACGCAAGTAATTAAGGTTATGGGGCGCACATTCCCACTGGTTTTTACAGTCAATGTATATAATGATTCTTGAATGAGAAAGACAAGAAGAAAAACCCTGGTTTCCTATCCGGGCATATACTTTTCTATCCATCTTTTCATCCTTTTTGCTACCTCATTTTCTGAATGATATTCGCTGCTCCAGGAAACATGTATATCCTTTTCCAGCTATTATAGTCTCTCTCTTCGCTCTCTTTCTCTCTTACAGACACACACAAACACAAAAACTAGTATTCCAAGAAGGAAGAAGGGAGAAGGGTTACGCTTAGAAGCAGAAGTGAAAAGAAATGGGAAGAGCTCCATGCTGTGACAAAGCCAACGTGAAGAAAGGGCCATGGTCGCCCGAAGAAGATGCTAAGCTGAAGTCCTATATTGAGCAGCATGGAACTGGAGGCAACTGGATTGCTTTGCCTCAGAAAATCGGTTCGTAGCTAGCAAAGATCTTCAATGATTTTCAAGTTTAATTTCTTGGACCTAAGTACAGTACAGTAATATGCTTAACTGGATTTTCTAATTTCTAATGCATATGATGATCTTCTTGATGTACGAGTTTTGTGTCTAAAATTAGGCCTCAAGAGATGCGGAAAGAGCTGTCGCCTTCGATGGCTCAACTACCTTCGTCCCAACATTAAGCACGGAGGATTCTCTGAAGAAGAAGACAACATCATATGCAGCCTCTATATTAGTATTGGAAGCAGGTAAGTCGCATATTTCCTAACAATTTTCAACCTCTTAACTACTCCAAATTGGACATAGTTAAGGTTCCGTAGTCTTCCTCCTCTTAATTAGGACAAGGGTTGAGTAAAGCAAGTAGTATCTTCCATTACCGAATTAAACATTTCTTTTTGATTTGCACAAACAGGTGGTCAATTATTGCTGCACAATTACCTGGAAGAACTGATAATGACATAAAGAACTACTGGAACACAAGGCTGAAGAAGAAGCTCCTTGGGAAGCAGCGAAAGGATCAACATGCTCGAAAAAGTACCAGCCAAAAGCAAGAAATCCTGCGAAAGGGGATGAGGGAAAATATTAATCATATGGTTTCTTCTTCTTCCTCTGATTATAACAGTAACCAAAGTCCCTATTGGCCTGAGCTGCCTGTACTGCCTCCAGTACCCTACTCAAACGAAGAACCACGCTTTAATGACCATGCTTCTATTAGAAAGTTGTTGATAAAACTTGGAGGAAGGTTTTCTGACGATGATGATCAACCAACAAATGGCACCATGAATACCAATCTTCAGTATCCTTTGGTTAGTACCAATTCGTTGGTGCAAGTTCAACCACTTTATGATCAACAGATTAATATGCTATCTTCTGCCCCCCTGGATGTCTTGAATACAACTTCATCTTTGCCAGAAACGCTATACACCATTGATGCAGCAGATTTGTCAACTTTACAAGGACAAAACAGCTTTCAAGCTGGGCTCGAGCAAATGATCTGTAACAATCCTCAGAGATTAGATGGTCTTGAGTTCTTATGCGGGGATATTTTGGTCAATCATAGGACCGGGAATACTTGTGGAGGGAGTTCAGATTGGGGGGACATGAATTCTCTGGTACTTCCTGCTGTTGCTTCCGGCTATGAGGGTCTTCAACAAGGGACGCTGCAAGAATGTGCAATTGATCAATTGAGGTACCTTGGACCATGATAAAGTTCGTGCATATTTCATTTGTAAATTTGTGTTATTAGACGAGAGATTGAATTTGGATTATTTGTCTCGGAAACCCTAATAAACTTCTTTTTCCTTTCATTTACTCCATTTGGACTAAAATTATCTAGTTGTCTTGATGTTGAAATGGGAGAACTTAGGACTTGGAAGCTAGGATCGTTTTATCAGGATGCATAATTGATTTTTATTTGGTTCTCCAGCTGAAGTATCTTAATTATGGAAAAGTTGCTTGGGAGTATATTTTTTCTGCTGAACTATATGGTGAAGCTAGCAGTGCAAATTAATTAGTGCTGGTTTTTCCTTCGACATAAATGTGCTGAAAAATCCCACAAACTTCCATTGTGGCCTCCACAAAATGAACCTAACTAGTAAAGTAAATTCCTTTGACATTTTGGCAACAACTTGGTTGAGCTTTGTGGAGTAGGCTATTTTTCAAACTTCTTTCATTATTTTAGTGCCATTTGTTTCTATGATATCTTAGAAGAAATTTAATGATTGTGATCATTTGAAATCATTGGAACTTGGAAAAGATGTTGTAGAATTAATTGGAATATTACCTGATTCTAATGTCTATACGTTGATTACTTGTAACTTCAGAGAGTATGTAGTAGAGTTGCACTATGAAAGTAGCCCTCTCAGTCTTTAAATTCACTTTGCCTTTCTTTTGTATGACACTAAATCATTCTTGTATTACTCAGGTGATTCAATTATTATCAGATTATCGGGACTCATTCACATAAATTTGTTATTTTTTCTCACAAGAAAAATGGTCATGTATCTATATATATATATATATATATATATATATATATATATATATATATATATATAACCTAGCAATCCCTTAAGAAGAACAAAGATATCTGAGAATCTTGAGGTTAATTATTATCTTCAACCTGTCTTAATTAAATAAGCAGGCAGGAATTCTAACATGTTAATGGAGTCTGATAAGTGCTAGACTACCAAGTAAATTATGTTTTTTGTCCTTTAGGCTAACATAGAGTTAGGAGGTACTACCTAGAATCCTATGTTAGATACTAGGACCATAACACTAATCCAGCTTCAACCCTAAGGTCAACAATGTCGCGTTGCTTTGCTTTGCCTTATCCTCTCCCTCTCTCCCTGAGTGTAATTCCGTACATATCCTAATGACTCCGAATAATCCCTTCATTGACCAGCTCCGGAGAACATTATGATTCAGAGATGGAGAAGAAATTCACCAGCTAGCTTAAACTTAGGTTGACATATAGTTGTTACTTGCTAGTTGTCCGTATCAAGCCAGCGCAATGAAACTGTGCATATTCGTCTCCAGATTTATTTGATGTTGCTAAAATCCTAATTTGTACAACCCTCGAGTTACTTGCATGTTGTATAATTCCTTTCTACAATACACAGCTAGGAATACTGGATTTTGTGTGTAGCAGGTCTTGCATGGCATGAACATGTATGTATATCCAGCCAGCCATGCATTCGCGAGGCTGAAATGGAGACATGATGGCTTTATATAGTTTTCTCATACAAATGCATACAGGACGCCAGTAACGTGCTTATCAATTAAGATTTAGACGAGTATAATTGTGCACCAATTGAGCTATGTCCAGAAGGTTATCATACGTGTTTGCGACTTGCAATATCCAGAAGAAGAACACGGTGTGTAATAAAGTAACGAGGGGTAAACATAACAAGGAGTATGAATAAGTAGAATATATAATAAGAAGCAGAAGCTCTACCAACATTAAACTGCTTCAATGAAACATGTTTTCCCATTATGCTTGAGAGCATGGTCAATATATGTGTTTGTTTCCAAATTGCAAATTACATTGCAGTTATTAACGAGAATTGATATTGAAATGAAGCATGTTGGAGATTTTTTACACGTCTTAACAAACAAGTCAGAATCTATGCCTAATCCCACCACTTTCACATAGTTTTTTATTATTTTGTTTTTAACGCAAAAAAAAAAAAATCTCAAGTTGTAGGCCTAAATTTTCTCCTCGTTTGTGCGTTACGGCTATCGTGGTTTTTTTTTTAATTTTAAATCTTTGTTAAAAAGTGTAAGATGCGACAGATTCAACCTTTGCAGGAAGAAGGAAAAAAAATTCTTCACAATCTTGAACAGAACTATATATCATCTAATTCCCCTTTCACTCAAAGTTCAACATGTATTAGATCCTTTAGCGAGTGAGGGATTTCAATCGATTGCTAGATTTCATGATCACATAATATTGCTTTCGGTCTTAATCCCCAACACTAGCATGCGTTCTAGAATCTGTATAAAGTTGCACTTGTTTTAAAGCAGCATCTCTTTCCTAGTTCAGCTCTCCCATTTTCCTCTTCAAAATACCTCCTATTCCTTTTATTTCATTCTTGCCATACAAAGACTGAGAAGAGATCCAAGCATGAAATAAAGGCATCACACAGTAGCTCATTTCACATTGATCATTTCGCATTCAAAAGGCAATTAGATTCTTCATGATAATCAATTCTAGAAAATATCCTGTGCATTCATCTTGATCTAAACTTTAGGAGGTCTTAAAAGCGAACTTTTACATGGATTCTTTGTATGGCTGACAAAACAATCAAGAAAATTGCTTACAGTTGTAACACTTTAGACCAAATATGTATTTCCTGCGCTGACCTTTGCTGCTGCTACTAACCTTTGTTTGGTAAGCAATTGTCACGGTTTGTTAGAAACTTGTTGACATAATTTAGAACTGGTAGGTAATTTACACTTCTAGCTTCCATGAACACTGACCCCATACATAATGAGACACAATTCCTCGTAGCAAAGGCTATGATATTTTGCTGCCAATGTTTTTATGGCTCTTTCTTCAGTAGCGGTCTCTTGGAAAAAAAAAAAAATTTTCAAAGAAAGAATCAAGCTAGAGGAAGCCCTAGAATGTGTCCTAGGTGTCCCCGTGTCACGTTCCAATAAATCCAGGAATATTGAGCATATTCAGCAGGTTCATATTCTGCAATTCCACCGTACATTCCTATCTTCAAGAAAGTCATGTGCCTTGTTTTTATTGCTTAAAATACTGAGCAAATAGAATTTTTCCAGACAAGAAACCCCAAGGAATACAGATAAGCTGCCATAAACATCCAAGAAAAAAGCATTGCTTATGCAAGTAACCAGAAAAATAAGTTCTTTACAATTAACTATATATATGCAAACAAAACACACTTATTTCCGTAAAGTGACAAGGAATATCCCTTGGTAAGAAGGAACAGAACAGAAAGAGCCTTAAACAAAAGACCAAATTTTCAAAATTTGACTTTACTGATGGGCACATTCTGGCAACTTGGTGACGGTAATAAAAACCAAATTAAGGCTCTTGATAGAGGTATATGAGCAGGGTTACCCTAGCAATGACAAGAGGCAAACGACGACTATGCCCACCACCTTTCTAGTTTTAAATTAGTGGATGCTAAGCAATGTATCTTTGTAGAATTTTAGTTTATTTTATGATAATGACACTCACTAAGATGAGAAATTCCTTGAGATTTGTCCTATTCTTGGACCTGATAAAGTGGTTCATCAAATAAAAATGCAGTGAAAGGACCTAAAACGGATTAAAGAATTGGCCTATATTCTCTCTCCAAGGAGAAGAAGATATCCGTCAATGGCCTTCACTCAATTTCAAACGAAGGGTACTGAGATTTCCATAGTTTATAGGTGTAAAGCACTGCTTATGCAATCATGCATTTCCAATACAGTTCCGTGACGGCCTGTCTGGCTAATAAACTTTTCATCCCCTCAAAAGCAAGTAGCATATAGTATTGAACAATGTAGATGATACATTGTTGTCTTGTAGATTGTGTTTTTTTTTTAATAAAGCAATTTAAGGGCTATGCTAAAATAATGAATAGGGGTAATGATACAAGCAAAACAAAACAAGAGCGATGAGGTAAAGGAGGATTTGCTTGAGGAACATGCAAGGGTAGTGGCAAGCATTGGAATCCTCTGTGCCACTACTCGGTGTCAAATCCAGTGCCAATCCCACTTATCACGTGATGGTAGAAGAATTTTAAATAAATAGCACATGACAAATTAAATAAACAGAATATTTGGCATAAATATAGAAGTGACACTGAATTGCTACTGAAAAAGTGGCACTGAGGATCTCGTGTGGTGGCATAAGTGCCGGTACTAGTCAAAATTGTAAGAGCTCAATTTGTTTCTTTTTTAAGCTTAAAAATACTTAATTTTAGGGAAAATTCTGAATTCTATTTAGAGAAAACTACTATTCTATTGCTAGACTCAGATTATTTAATTAGGAATTGAAAGTGCGCTGTTGGTTGATAATTCTGTCCAGTATTCTCACGGATGTTTTCTTTTTCGTTTCATTATCCTTAATTTGAAAAAATAAAAAAGATTAATCTTTCTTAGATGACTGATTTAAAGATTCTTTTTATTCCAATATCAAATCATTTTCTTTTCAGATGTTGTGTATATTCAAACTAGCTAGCCTAATAAAAACCCTTATCCGTATGGTGTCAGACAGAGTAATCCAAGCAGTAGATCCAGACCTATACACTGCACATCAGATTTGAAAGAAATGGATAGGGCTATATTGCACTAGGGTTTGAGATATTTTCTTGTGTTAAAAATTTGGGCTAATTTCAAAAACCACCCTTGAGGGTTTTGACAATTGAAGTCTCTGCACTTAATTTCAATAATTATAGAAACCTACGTTAAAATATATGGCTAGGTAACAATTGATGATATAAACACAAATAATCTAATGAATACCTTATGTTACTCCCATCTCATTTCTTAAAGAAATTAAATAGGTTAATATTTTGTAAAAAGAAAAAATACCCCTATTTAAGAGAAAAAAATTGATGGGATTTGACGATTGGATTATTGGGAATAAAAATCAATTGTGCAGATTTGAGGTTTAATGAAATCATAATAGGCTGGTTAAATTTAACAGGATGAGCACATGGTTGGGATTTGAAAGTTGCTTGTTGTAGATAAAAATCACTAGATGATCAATGTAAAATTATTCTTTTTTTTGCATCTTATAACGAGGTGTTTAGTATACTAAAAAAAAAAGTGCGTAGGAGATATTGTTTTTGTTTTTAATTTTCTATAAAAATCTTGGTCGTGATTTTATGAAGGTTAATAATATAGCCCTTTAATAATATTTAGAGAGGTTAATGTAATTCTACAAACTTTAGCAGGGATGATTCAAATTGTTAGAAACCTGAGGGAGGTTTCTGAAATTATCCCTAAAAAATATAGACTTTCAGGTCACAATTTTGTAACCTAGCATCTACAAATTTTGCCCGGTGCCGTATTTTAGATGAACCCCAATCCAATGTTCATGGTCCGCAAAAAGCAAAAGCCGGGCCTTTTAAGAATGGCCTGTTCGTAAGGTACCAAGCCCAGACTTTTGTCGGGTCGAAGATTACAGAGTGGTCAAGGCCAACAAC